AAAAGTAGCATAGTTCAGACTCCAGCCAATACTTCTGGAAGAGGTTTTTCACTTCCATGTGCAGGGCCTGCCATTTGCCCTTCTTGAACACCAGAAGGTTCCTTGGCCCAATTCTCCAGATGGTCTAGGACTCCCTTTACAGCCGCTGTGGCCTGGAATGCATCAGCTGCTTTGTACACGTTGACTACTGTCAGGCAGTCCTTGTTTGCTGTCCACTCACTGGTGGAAGGTTCCCCCACCTTCTCTGAACTCTTTCAGGGGATGCAGCAGCCTGGGAGATCTTGTAGGCGAAGTGTGGGAGAAGCACTGACTCTCTTCATGCCCTTCTTGAAGGCAAGAGGCTCATTGGCTTTCTTCCAGCCCTGAGATGCATTCCATGTGTCTTTCAAAGGGACTTGAGAGCAGCCTTGACCTGCCACCAACCAGCACTCCTGGAGTCACGGCATCAAGTGACATGCACTCATGTCATAGAATCACAGAATCATAGAATCAACCAGGTTGGAAGAGACCTCAAAGATCATCAAGTCCAACCCTACCATGGTTACTAGACCATGGCACTAAGTGCCACATCCAGTCTCATCTTGAAAACCTCCAGGGATGGTGAATCCACCACCCCCCCAGACAGCCCATTCCAATGCCTGATCACTCTTAGTGAGTCCAATCTGTTAATGTTCCCACACCTGATCCTGCTCTAGTCCAAGAAGTCTTTCTTGCTGCCTCCAAGGAACATGAGGACACCAATCTGTTCAAAGTAATTCCTGCTAGTGAAGACCAAGGCCAAGAATCACTGGAGTGCCTTCCCTGTACCTTCCCTGTAACCATGTCCCCAGTGAAACTACCCCAGTCAGCCTTTGGCCAAACCTCCTTTTTGCTGCTCATCTGCCTGCTAGAAGAATTTCATGTGTCCTCCACATGATTTCCCTGATTGAACGCCAGGCTGGGCTTTGGCGTTCCCCAGTTCTGCATACTCAGACAACCTGGCAAATGTTCTACCAAGACCAAAGTGCATCAATGGGAAGATGGCTGAAACCTCTTCCTACAAAGAGAGTTGTAAACAATTGCAATTCACTGCTCCAAGCCAAGATCCCTCACCAGCAAGGAACCCCATCACCACTTGGAGCGTATCTTCTGCCTGCACCGGCACAATGTTACCTAGGATATCCTTGGATGCCTCATCCCAGCACATCAGAGTAGCCTCCATGGCACACCAGGCATGTCAGAAATGAGGAAATGAAATGGCAGCAGAGGTTGACAGAAACCAAAACACAACTTGTGCCATTAGGAAGGATATTTTGTTTTTGAGGTGTCTGTTGCAAAATTACTGCCCTCATGCAGTGCCTGTGGGCCTGGGGCAAGGCAAGAGCAGTATAAAAGTGAGTTCTTCTCCTCATTCATCCATTCCTCTCCTCTCCATCTCCTTAGGAACAAGGTGAGTATGAAGCTCTTTCTCCTCCTTCTCATACTTCTCCAGTACACCTCAGCTCGTACCTGCCTCTGTCCTATGTGGGGTCTTGGAACTGCTACCACGGGAGAGGGAAGGGTGCAAAAAGTGTGCCAGGAACAGAGGTTGAAGTTCAGTTAGGTGTATCCTGAGGTATGGGCTAGGAGGCATCTCCCTGAACTTGGTTGTTATCTGCAGGGTTCTTTTGGGCTGAGAGGAAGGTGATACCTCTGGACACAGTCTCCAGCTCTTTTCCCTAGCTCATGGCTTATCTCACTCTTGGAGAGCTGAAAGACTGCTCTTTACACACAGTTTATGCTCTGTTTCCCCCTGTCCTTTGTCCCAGGTGCACCTCCAGCCCCAAGCCATGTCCTGCTACAACCCGTGCCGTCCCTGCCAGCCCTGCGGCCCGACCCCGCTGGCCAACAGCTGCAATGAGCCCTGTGTCAGGCAGTGCCAGGACTCCACCGTGGCCATCCAGCCCTCCCCAGTGGTGGTGACCCTGCCTGGCCCC